ACTACTAACTACTACTAACTACTACTAACTACTACTAACTACTACTACCTACTACTACCTACTACTACTACCTACTACTACTACTACTACTACTTCATGGTTTTTCTTAGCTTTGGGCATGTTTTTCCGCCACAAGAAACTTGCAAAGATACATACATGAACCGCGCCATTGCTGTTTAGTTTTCAAGACTTGTTTCATGGCTGCTTTTTCAACGATGGGCAGGACATCAAAGTGTTGCCCTCTTTGTGGACCGCGAAGAATGCAGATGATCCCCTCGCCAGGTGGCCCCATCTTTGGTGTGTGAACATTTGGGTAGCTCATGTCTCGACATGCACAGACACTATCCCAGCATGCCAATGACCATGCTACCGTCACCCCACACTTCTGGGGGGTCATAAGCGTAAAACCAACCTGTGGCGTGGGTTGATTCTCCACCTTCCTCAGTTTGACTGACCACCGACCTTCCCCAAAAACCGTTTGTACTATGTGAAGTTTTAAGATGGATAAAGGCATAGTATAGCATCACGAAGGCTTGCACAACTCCTCACGATTCATTGGTACAACATGTCGCAGTCACCTGTGGCAGGCCACAAGGATACCATGACTTCAATGAATTTCAGGACCGAGTTGCTCAGGCTGAAGCCGACGAAGATGGTCGGGCCACATGTTTGGAAGGTCACCAACAACGAAGGTTTTAACGTTCTCGAAGGGCCCCCCAAACGCGATGAAAGGCGAAGATCACCGGACAATTAAGGGCCAATTAAGGGATATGATATAAAGCATGATGCGAGCGGACCAATACCAGGTTATCAAGTTTAAGTTTGATGGTTTGTTTTCGGTTTGCCCACGGTCCAATTACTTTTGCAGTTGGGCAAGTTTCAGTTGGGTGTTTCAATCAAAACCATGCCAAGGTTGTCCAAACGAACAGAGACTCATGCAGCATGCAACCTTTACGGTTTCAGTCCTCATCCACGATCCCTTGTTTAATCTTGCCGGTGCACTGCCCAAAGTGACAGAACCTGGACCAATGTGAACCAACTTGGACTCTAAAAATATGCGTTGCATCAAAAGCAAAAAACACATCCTGCTGCCTTTCGTGCTCAGTGCTCGTCGTCGCAGATAGGCCGCTGTGCTGCCAGTGGGTGCGAGTGCCGAGTTTGTTTGGACAGACCCTAGTAGCGTCCTTGCTCTTAGTAGTACGGCCAGGAGCCCCTACTAGCGTCCTTGCTCCTAGTAGTACGGCCAGGAGCCCCTAGTAGCGTCCTTGCTGGTTGAGTTCAGAGATGTAGATTTAGACGATTTGACATTTTGAGATCCCAGAAACTCGAGTCTGGGCGTCCAGAGTTTTTTGCACAGCAACGCAGTTTCTCCCGGTGCCTTGCACCGAAGAGTGGATCACAACCCATTTGTCGTTTCTACCGCCATTTGAATGTATACTGACTTGAGAAATTGAGTGGGGTTTGTGCATATATGCATATGTAAGTAGTTATATACACAAACAATTAACATACTGCATGGGTCTTTGCTTTAGATCAAATCATCCTTCCAAGGCTCACCTGGTGCAGCTTTGCCTCGAACAGGGGCTTTGGTAGTGACCCCAGCATTGTGCAACATGGTTCCGGCAATACATGCATAAGTGCAGGGTCAAGCAGTCAAACGATGGGCAGAAATCAAAACCCTAACATGATTTGAATGGTCAACTTTAACTTGTCCACCAGCCTACGATTCTGTGATGGTTTTTGCACAGCACAGGCTAATGGATTATATTTATCAGTTAGCACGTTGCTCACTTTGATAAAGCTGCTTTTCCTTCACTGAGAACAGTCGTGCTCAACGGCTCTTTAAAGTGTGATGAAATCCTGAGTTATAGCCAAGGTGCGGGGCAAGCGCACGGACAGACTTGACGCGTCAGGGTGCCCCAGTCTGGGTAGCATTCGAACAGATGGTTCTTCAAGATCTCTCAAGAAGGGCAGATGAAACCATGGTCGAAAGATGTCGAAAGATGGGGCATCTAGGTCTCCAGTCAACCAAGGGCATCTTAGATGGTCGAAGTCAGGTTCCTGCAAAGCTTCAAGCGTTCATGTGAAATGAGGGTCATGGCACCTGGAGCTCCGAACTCACTCACCCTGGTAGGTGTACGACTGGGCCCCCCAGTCGTCTATTCGGTTCTTCCCGTCGCGTGGGTCATGGCGTCCCAGTGCCCCAGTGCCATGATCGGAGTTTCAGAGCGCCCGGCTAAACCCTATGGAGTTCGGACTCAAAACCCTGTAAGTCACTGGTTTTGATGGTCAGCGAGTCGGAGTGAGTAGCCCGGCCACGAAGTAGCGCCGTGCCGTCTCCCAGTGGAGTCTCCCGGCCTGGGCTCGGTCCCCTCGCACCTGAGGCGTCCTCGCACTGCAGGTCACAGCCCGGTGGAGGGTTTTGACGTTTGGATGTGACTGCTAATGCGTTGCATTCTCCATGTGTGGATGTTGACTTCGCCGAAGTCGAAGTCTGCCTCCCAAATAGTCGAGGTTTCTTCCGGTTTGGGGGGACCTTCTGCTGCCTGTTTCAGCTGAGGCTTCGGGGTAATGACAATTCATATATATATATATATATATCCAATCCTGCGAGCAGACCGTGCCAGGCCGGCTGTCAAGACGTTGTGAGTAACGGCCTGAGTGCTGAAGCGTTTTTCGTGGTCAAAGCTGGAAGTGCTTCCTTGTGCTAAGGATCCATTTAACTCATGTAACATTTACAACATCCAAAACATAAGGAAGGGATACTTCGATCCCATTTGATACTGGAAGTATTGAACGTGGCAGGCACATTTGATACTTTGGCGAAACACGTTCAATGTTTGGACTCACGCTTTGAATGGTCTTGAGATCCTCTCCAATACTTTTGAGATCTTTTGAGTTTGTAGAGATTTGTTTGATTCGTTTCTTGAGGTCACAGCCTGGCTTGGAGGCCACGGGAGAAGTGTGGCTGGGGAGAAGGCCATTGGCATTGAAGCATATTGAAGCTACTTTATGGCCTCAAGGAAGAGGGATTAACAGGGCAACACCTCGAGAACTTGTGCATGAGGCCAACTTTGGCCTTGCTCCTGGCCCTTGCTCTAGGGACTAAGCGAGTGTGCTTTTTTAGATATTCTTGACATCCTGGACTATTATATACGGTGGTTTCAGAGTAGATGGCACAAACCCCTACATGTCTTTTAGATGGGGGTCCATACAAACCACCTTTTGGGGATTGTGCCATCTACTCTGAAAGCACTGTATGTCTCTTCCGTGGTTTGTTCTGTCTCAGGTCTGGGGATGTACAAGATACTTCCTCCCTCCACACCACACACGTCTGGTCTGCAAAACCAAAATGATCGACTTGGTCTCGATGCCGAAGTCTTGTCTTGCAAACGGTTTGAGGATAGGCGGCTCGTCTTGTCTTTGGTGCTTTTTCAAGCATTCTTTGCAGGGTGCAATCAATCGCAGGAACCGCGATATCAATTGACAAACATGGTTTCCGATGAAGGCGCCAGAGCTGTTAGAACCGTCGACCTGTTGGAAAGCCTTGTATCCGGCAGGCTTGAACCCATCTCCATGGTAGAAGCATACCTATGTAAGGGGCTTATCGATCCCCATTGACCGCTCAGGCGATTGACTCCGCTCTTGACAGCCACATGCTCAGTCAAACACGATGGAAGCTGAAGCTGGGATGAATTGAATTGATCATTCTTTGATCAAACTATTTCAAACGAGTATAGCAGCCCACATGCTGAGGGAACATCATGTTTATATGCGTGTGTGTGTGTGTGTGTGTTTAGCTTTTGCGATGCGTTGTTTGTGGATGTTTGTGGTTTCTTGTGCTGTTGACAGGTTCACATGCATGCACATGTCGACACTTGCACGTGTTCACGTTTTGACACTTGCCCATGTTCGGTGGGGTGTAAAAAAATAAAAACGGTATGTTTTTTGTTGTGTTTTTGTTTCGTTTTGTTTCGTATTGAATGGAGGGTTAGTACACTGTGGGCTACGCCCCCCAACGCGCGCGCCCCAACGCCACTGGTCAGGACGAGAACGTTTGGCACATGCCTTTGTTGTTTTCCATTGCGGGGGAGTTGAGGTGGAGGGTGGAGGGTGTGCATGCCTTGCGGACGCATTTGGTTCTCGGTGTGGAGGCCCCATTCACACAATACAGTCATAATATAGCGAAGAAGCTTTTGGAACAGTTCTGACACTTGTCCAGCATATCACGCGACCAGGATAGACTGAGATTGTGAGAAGTTTATGGTAAGGCATGGTAAGGCCAAGAAAAAGCTGGGCCCACAATATAACACGCCACTGACTTTCCTGACACAAATTGTGCAAGGGCTATATACTGTAAATGAAATATAATGATTACAATGTTATATTGCATTATGATGTACTTTTAACACTGTAGGTTAGAAGAGAGCGCTGACACACTTGTCAACACTCTCAAACCCTCTTTGGACATTAGGCTCCATGGGCCAAGCAGAACTCGCAGAAGGAATCATTGCTCGTGCGACCACTCAACAGGAATGTTGGTGAAGCAGCATGCACTGCAGACCTAAGTGCATGCCTGCATGCTGGTACCCAAACAAGAGATCCCACACAAGAAAGGTAGGAACAAAGAGATCATGGCTTGGTTGCTGGCAATGATGTTGGGAACAAGGTCAAACAGATCTGCTGTCAAAGACTGGTCGGCGCATTGCAAAGATGTAACAGATGGCAGGGCTGGCAAATAAATGTCAAAAACTGGCTCTGAAGAGGTTTCCAATGCTTCCGAGCAAGACACACCGCTGACGAAGCACAGAGTTTCTGACCGGCGATGAATCAAAACTGTTTTGTTGCGATAAAACGAGACGGACTCTGAGATAAGATAGGACATCTCCACATGAAATTTCCGCATGACTTCCGGACAGAAATCTATTTGACAATCTTAAAAGCATGTAGCTCTTGGGGATGGCTTTTATGCTTCTGTTCGCAATCTCAGGTGCGGAACTGAGGGGCCCACTGTGCTGGCCTCAGTTCCAAGTGCAGGGCTTGTGCAACGGAGTTCCTGTGGTTCCTGGGACACTTGGACGGGTTGCTGAAGCGGCGAATGGATGAACATATCCCCTCCCGATGAACCAGATCACCTTCCAGAACCTCGGTTTGTAATGTTGTATAATCAGTTCTCTGAACAGAATCGAGAGAAGACAACGATTTTTACAATAAGTTGCATGAAATTGCCATGTTACGATTGCCTCGCCCTTTGTCCATGGAAAGGGAGGCGTTTTCAATTTGAAAGTGAGGAGTCCTGAACGTAAGCAACTGCCAAACCATTCAGCCAAACTTCTGTGACCAATGCTCCATGCCATGTTCGTTGCATGTCATTGCCCTATTCTCGGGTAGTTACTACTACTGCTACTAGTAGTTCCTAGCTACTAGTAGTAATGACCTTGTTACTAGTAGCGATGCCAGGAGCCCCTAGTAGCGTCCTTGCTCCTTGCCCTTTGTGTGGATCGCCTGGTTGATGTCCACTTCGCATCGTTGTCGTCGCTGGATCGCCTGGTAAACTCGTCGGTGGTGGTTGTCGCATCGCAAAGGATGGAGATCCGGCCGAAAAGCGCTCTCAGTGGAAGGCTGGGAGAAACAGATCAGTTGGAAAAGCAGGTCACTTGAGAAGCATCGTTTGCAATCTGTTGGTTTGTTGGTTGTTTGTTGCAGTGATTTGTTTCTAAGTTTAGCCAGTCGGATTTTTCTGGGTGGGCGATAGACATTGTGTATCATTGTGACATTGAAGGCGTGAGGATGGACCCTATCGGCGTGTGGAGTTTTTGTTGGAAGAGCTGAGCTGCCAGGAGACTCAAAGGACTTTGACATGAGCGACTTTTGAATCGGCACAACAGCCTGAGCATGTGATGGCGCATGTTTTCTAGCATAGTACGACCTGTGGATGTCCACCAATTTGCTGTACTCGGGCGCAGAGCCCAATTGACTTCGTCCACACCATCACAGGCCCGGGTGTTTTTTTTTTTTTTTCGGGCTCCAATGTGACCCCTTTTTCGGATCCATTTGCGGGTCGGGCTCCAAGACGGAGCCCATGCCAATGAGCCAAAATCCGCCGAGATCATTTGTGGCACTCTTCAGAGTCTCCAGGACCTGACAAGCTATTCAAGTTGGCTTTCAGAACCGGACTTGAACGCTCTTCAAGTCTCTTAGTACCAAAAAGCTTAGGAACACCTAGTCAAGAATGAAGAAGATGTTCTCTCCGAGACGCGCAGCAATTTAAGGTTCCTGTCCAAACAGCAGTGCAGAGCTCCTAGCGCATAAAACTACAAGATCTCCCACTCTTGCCACGGAAGTGTGGTCAGACCGGTACATGACGGATGTGCATACTTGATCATACTTGTAGCTGAATCAGCTTGCATGTTCTCTAATGAAAAGTCCATGTGGACCCATGTCAGTTTCAGATTCCACAAATTCAAAAGATGCTGTAGGAGGAGATGATGGAAACTATTGTCAAAGAAACATACTTCAGATCTGAAATGTTTTGGTGTGACCACTTGATTCATGGCTCCTAGCCGCCAGAGCCCAAAAACCGCAGCGTGTTCTGCCAAAACCGTCAGTTTGCTCCTGCACAAGTCATTGGCAACTCATGATGGATAATGCATGATAGTGCATTGCTCAGATGGCATATTGAGAGAAAGAATTCTTGGAGAGCCGTACTCGGTGCCTTCGAGCTCCGTCCGCCGATTCGGCCCCCGAATCCTGGCCGCTTAGAGCGAGCGAGAGAGAAGACTCTTCCCCCGTCGGCCGCGAACGGCCAAGAGCCTCACTGAGGGAGTTACATCGCCCCCTTTCCCCGACCATCTTCAGCTCCTTCCGCCAGAGGCACGCAGGATTTGGGGTGTGGATTGGGCACACCAGGACTCAGACGCCAGTACGGCATCATTGAGTCATAGGCAGCCACCAAGCAGAGAACGAGATGATAGGGCAGCATCAAAGGTGAATGGAACCAAATGGAACCTTTGAGTTTTGCTTGAGCCGTTTCACTAGAGAGGCGTTTCTTCACAGCCTGAGCAACGAAACAAACCTGGCAACGAAACGTTCAGAGCTACAGAGTCGTTCATGCAAGCCGCAATGTGCAGGGACAAGCAGGGCAAGCAGCGCTGCGCGGCTGAGGCACATCCTGTCCGCTGGCTATGATATTCAACCACTTCAACCATGGCATTTGCATGCACTGAGGTAAACAAGCCACGAATGGTCACGGTCCGACTCTCCACCAAGGAATGCTACAGCAAACAGGTGAGTAAGTGGAGCTGGATTCCCTGGTGGGGTTGAAAAGCAGTGCTGGATTTGACGAGGGACGGACGGACGGACGGCAGGCAGGGAGCATGCAGGAAAGAGAGAGAGAGAGAGGAGAAAAAGGAGTTGCACTACACTGTACTCCATTCAGGATACATTTTGGCGATCTTCGATACGCTTCGTACATGCATGATCAGCACATGATTTGTAGGTTACATGAGTACACTCAGTTGCACCAGCTTTCAACTGTTCAGCGAATCCGTCGGATCCGGCTTTAAAGAACGAACACAAGTTGGATATATCGTGGTGCAGAGGACATGCAGAGTATTCAACAACAAAATCTGGGGAGCTCCACATGCACTGCGCCTTGTCAGGCCATGCTCTGAGGCACCGATGGCGCAGAAGGGTCATGTCACCCTGTGAGCGCTCTGCAAAACTCTTGTTGCTGATGTTTAAAGCCTCCAATAGATGTTGATCCCCCAGGGAGATTTCGCAAGGGAGTATGGGATGGATTACAGGCTGAAGCTTGAAGGAGGTGGTGAGGTGCCTACGAGTTGCCCAAAGTACCCGTACAAGACCGCTGCAGGGGTTAGTTAGTTTGCTATATATGCATATGAGGTTCCCACGCAAGATCGTTTGTGCATGATTTTGAACCATGTACCCATGATAGCCCATGTGCCATTATTTTGTGGATCGGGTTCTGGCTGAGAGGTCGGCATTGAAGTCACGCCAGCGTGCGAGGGGAGTACACGTCTTGACCCGAGCAATGGTCAATTCATGTCAATTGCTTGAAGGACTCAAGATATGAGATATGATTTCATGGAGTGCTTCAAGTATAGAATGGAGATCGGGCTGGCCCCAAGCTATATGGATGCGATCATGAGATATCATGAGGGTATTTGTTCAGTTATGTTTCGTTGGATACTCGAATTTAGATACCTTTTGTGGGCCTTGTAGATCCGCCGGCTCCTGTTGAATCGCTGAGATTTTGTGCGTTTTTGTGCCTGAAGATCCGTCAATTCCCCCATGATGTAAGGCCTTGGGCTTCGGTTTCATGAGTTTGTAGGAAAAACAACCTTTTCAAGAAGATCCTATCGTTTTGGCTGAATCTCCTCCTCCCCAAGGACCAGTTCCAGAACCGGGCAAATCGTGCACTGTTCATCACTGTTCATTTTTTCGAGGAAAAAAAACATGCGAAGGCTTTTCGTTGTCGGGTTCCAACGATTCCGCCCGAGTCCACACGCCCAGCAACTCAAAACTTCAGGTCACTGCTCAGCGGTTGATGGGGGCGACCATTTGGAGGGAACGGGAAGGCGACGCGAATGCTGGACGCGTGATTTGTGGGATTGCTGGTATGATCAAAGGAAGATGTAAGCGTATGATGTAGACAAAGAGAACCGCCAATGTTCAATGACTGTGCCAGAATTTTGTGCACATGGAAGTCTTGCGTTCTAATTGTCAGTTCACAATGAAAACTGGGCTTCGCAAGACACATTCGTGGCTTGGACGCAGCCAATAAATCACTGATTGAGACTGTTTGGTCAACTGTCGTTGCATCTGTTGCTGGAAATGTTTTAGACTCTTAGGTACGGTGCGTGGGTTATTATTGCATCTTAAGTCTTAATAGCTTGATCTATTGTTAAACATGAGTCGGTTGTTATTCTGACCAGCCTCAGCAATAGGCGGTGGTGAAAATTTGATTCCTTGGCAGTCATGTTCCAATACCTTGCGAAGTCTAGCTGTCTCTCACCCCTCATTGGTTGACTGAAGACATGCGGCTTTCAAAGGAACTGAGGAAGATTGTAGCGCATGAACACACAATTCTTGAAGAGTCCAAGTCTCGTTGTAGAGCAGTGTTGCCTGAGTCTCATCCAATCCACGCCACAGACAAAGTTTGTCTCCATGGCGTCGCAACTTGGGTTGCTTGGAATGATCGCAGAAAGTGAGGGTCGCTTGCTGTTGCGAAGGGGTGCGATGGGCATGCGAACGGGTGCCCCGTGAGGCAAGAGGCAAGAGATGCTAAGTTTAGGCGTTCAAGACAAAGAACAATTGTAAGGTACGGAATACTGCATGAATTTGACTTTGGTAACCTGGTAGGCTCTAGGGGTGACTGTAGGACATGTGGAGCCTAGGCGTGCGCCCTACAAGCTGCACTTCTCGGAAGAGTGCCCTGGAGCACACTGCGTGCGCTCAGCTGCTTTTTTCTTGGCCCAAAGCTAGGTAGACTAGCCGACTGACCCCAAACATTCGGCACGGCTGAAGAGGTCCAGGTTTGAGTTGCCAGCATATAGACAGAAACAATAATCTATAGTCTTAAATAAACTAAAGGATGTCCAGCAAAGTTGATGTATGTTGCTGCTTGGACAAACTTAAGCAACGTATGCCACCATTCTGCCCTAAGGTGCTTGGACACCAGACGGCCGACGGAGAGATAGGCCAACGTGAGTGCCAACGTGCTTATCGGTTTGTTGTGATGGGCTACTTCCCCAAGTATATGGAAGGATGACGTGGCCCTTGCTTCTCGTAGATCCAACAAACCTTTGACTTGTCTCAACGAAGAAGGAGGCCAATCATAACAGATCGGACAGAAGTGGAGACGTCCGCAGTGGAGACAGCAGAGGTGGATGCCGAAGCTCACACGGCAGCAACGGGCATGGGGCGCCAAAGAGAAGTCTGGAAGCCCAGATACATGTTTTTGAAGGTAAAACAGATGTCAACAGACAGCATTGAAGGACTGGAGAGGGATGGAGGGGGATGGCGGAGCCCATTCATGATCCACCAATCCAAGAATCTCAGAATATCATAGAATATCACATAATATATAGCCACAGCAATAGCAAATTTAATAATATCACAACGATTACAATATCATTTTTGTTGATAGTATCAAAATATATAGTATCATGCTATATATTATCACAGGCCACACGGCCACCAAACGAGTCACAGTCACGCAATCAATCTAAAACAGTCACTCAATGCTTTGGAAGGGGCCAAAGTTTTGAATCGATGGAGATGGCCCAAAGCTCCGACCTCTTTGACACGTGATCCGGATCGACCCCAACTCGCCAAGGCTCGATCGGCTTAGCGCGCCAGCCCTGCGGGAGCTTCGCATGAACCTTGCCAACGTGGGACCACTCGGTCGACCGTAAAACAGTTGGTGTGAGATGTTTTGTGATGTGTCCCAACGGAATCACAGCTCCAGCGCAGGTCAGAGCTTGTGAGGAAATTTGTGTCATTGAATTTGGGATTGATCACCCTTAGTAGAAACAAGGTTCGCTACTAGGAACAAGTGCATCGCTTCTAGTAACAAGTGCCTTACTAGTAGGAACAAGTGCCTTACTAGATCTTACTAGTAGTAAGAATGTTCGCTATTAGAGATGGTTGTCTTTTTCAACTCGTTTTCCCTTTCGGTCCATAGGGGTCCATTCAAGCTGAGTATGAGACCGGATGAGTGGACCATCATTAATATATAGTAATCTGTGTGGGCCAACCGGGCTGAAGTGGGGCCAACCGGCGTTGCATGTCGACTGGGAATCGCTGAATCATTCTGTCGTTTTCACGCAGGTTCGTGCCTGGATGCAAAGTGGGCAGGTCGTAGAGAAGGCTGGGGTCATCCCATGGTCAGAGGATGACAGTTGAGCTGGTCAGACTTGAGCTAGTCCGGAGGGGTTTGAGTGAGCCGAACACGTCTAGGATCTACGCGGGGGTTGTTGGAAGTTGAAAAGAAACATTGAGGCGACAAACCATGCATACTGCATAACTACATTGACAACCACTGCTGAAAGTTTGTTGCGGATCTTGCTTTTGGTCGCAGCATGTCGCAAAACCAAACAATTTATGAACATCCCCTGGCGTTGATTTCGACCAGGCTGTGGAGGTGCAGAAAGAGGAAGAACCGCTTGGTGGCCCGATGGGCGCTCCGCGGGATGGGGGGAGCTGACTGCACCAGACGTGGATGAGGAGCTTAGACAAGAACACTCGCTCCTTTGGGTCGTAGGTTGGGAGTCACCAATTGCTTAAAAGAGAAGTCGTGTAGAACCGGGAGACTCCATGGGTGTGGATGTTCGCAGCTTCATGTGAATGAAACCTGAGTTTGCTGCCTTGTGGGGTCACACACATCTTCACAATGAATATGAATGTCAAAATCAAACCCGCCTTGGGCCCCATGACGTAAGGCAGGGCGTCCGTACCCGCCGAAGCGGTAAGGCATCGGCCAGTGAACATCGAAGCACCACAAAGCAGCACGGCCACACTCAAGAGAGGGACCTGGGGTGTAAAGGCCACGAGCCATGCATGCCCTGTCAGATTTGGAAGTGAATCCGAGGTCGGAGCCTGATGACACCCAGGCAGAGCCAGCAGAACAGAGTGTCACTGAGGGACGGGCGGTATGACTTGGCCATTCGTTGGAGCTCAGTTTAGTCGACATTGGAGCTCAATCCATCCGCCTAAAGTGCGTGAGAATCCTGTGTCAAGGAGACGACAATCGGTTGCATAAGAACTTGACCACTAGTACTTGGAACTCAAAGTAGAGCCCATCCAAGTTCTTGAAAGCTTCCAAGATCTTCCAAGATTAGACAGGCTATATAGACATTCCGATATTTACGTGTTAAACTTGGCCATTCGAATGGCCTCCTCAACCCGCTTCGCCTTCGCTTCGGCCGCTGTGACCGAGGTCGAGGAGCCGGCGACCTTCGACCCTGTGAGCCCACGAGAGGTCGAGGACGCGGAAGGCCGCTCGACGGGCGCGGCCAAGGGTCAAGACTCCCTCTTGGGCTAGGTCATGATGGTCATGTTGCTGGCGCTCCATCTGGTTGCCCGAAGAAAGAGCTTCGGTTCCCACAGGACAGTTGGAAAGACGATATGGCTGTGGGTCATGGCACCTGGAGCCACAAATCCTGGTGGATTGACATCACTTATAGAGGAATTTGTTCATTTTCAGTGGTCAACCAGGGGTACGGGCCGGGTACGGGTTTTGAGCCATATTTCTTCCACCCGGTTGGGGCACCATTTTGAGGAATGGGCTGATTGAACTATCGCTGAACATGTTCACAGGTTGTTTGCACCCGTGGCACGCAGTGCAGCAGATGAAACTGAAGGCTTCACCTTTGGTCGCCGCGGTCGCCCGTGGCATCGACCGTCCAGGGGCTCAGGGGCTCCCTGCTGAAGCTGCCACCAGGCCGATGCTGTACTCAAAGGTCTGAGAAGCTTGAAACCACCAGTGTTTTTTGATGATTTTCTATGTTGTTATATGTTTATCATGTTTGGAAATCTAGGTTCACAAACAAATGGGTCTACAGCTCAAAGTTTACCCCAGCCAGTGCAAGTTGTGTCAAGTACTTTCGAAGTAACAGTAACATGTTAATGTTGGAACCGCCAGCTCTCTCGACAGGTGTAGTAACACTCTCAGGTTTGATGAGCTGCCGATACTTTGAAACATCTCCGTTTTCAGCAGATGAAACTGAAGGCTTTCTTTAGAGGTGCAGATCGCAGAGGGGTCGAAGCAGTCAGAGTCCATTGAGTCCATTAAGTCTCATGTGTCGCAGATGTCGAGAAATCTGCGGACATGGAAGGTCCTCCCCCAGCCATGTCCGCTTGGAGCTGGACCACATGGAGCGGCAGGCTGGGCGTCAATCGGTCCGAGACGCGGCAGGCTGTGTAAAGTGCTCCACGCGGCAGGCTGGGCGTCAAACCCATGGCACCGGTGGCAAAGTGTTGGTACGACCTGGTACGACCCAAGGAACGAAGGAGTCCCACAGCTGGGTGTGAAAGAACCCCAAAAATAGAAGCGGTCAGGATCACCGGTCCGGAGCAAATGTTGGAGGTTATGAATGCAGTTGAAGGAAACGGGCGACAAAGAAGCTACTAGGACGCTAGTAACAAGAAGCTGCTAGAAACAAGAAGCTATAGAATTAGAAGGCATGGACAATAACATTTATGTCCATTCTTGATCAGTGAGTTTGTTTGCAAAGCACGATGACTCCTTCTGCCAGTGTTCGGCTCAAAGCCGGACACATCAACTGTGCAGATTCCGTTTAGCTTGCAATGAACGATGAGCAAACTCCATTGCTCGGGCATTTAAAGGTGCCTTTTGGGCCCTAATGTTACAACCCTTAAGCAGCAGTGTTCCACACTGGGCTCTCTGACTTCAATATACTTCAATCCAATAAGGGCACGAGCACGTCTATCACTGCACCATGCGGTTGTTTGCGCAATGCACCTTCTGTGCTGCTTTGTCAGCCCTGCAATTTGGCGCCACCTGCGCCATTCGCAGTGCAGCTTTGCCCGTGATAGCCAGTACTGAACAGTTGCAGCGGACTCACTCCTGACAAAACCACGCCAAACGAAAAACTGCAGAGGCACTTCATCCCCTTCCTTTGTCAGACCGGATCAGACCCATTTTGAAGAAATCGGGAGCGTTGGAGATGAATGTCCCACTCTTTGGGCTGCGGTGAATATTTGCAAAGCAAGGTTCGCGCTGGAGGAAGGACACCGACGCGAGCTGTTTTGGACATTAAATTACATTACTATATAAATGATGTTGGACATTGTTTTGGACATGTTTGAGGCAGTTCGAGGTGTTTCAGGCTTTGAGGATTCGGAATACACATGTTTCAACAAGGTTCTACCGGAGAAACACATAAATGGGCCGGAGGCGGCAAAAACTTGGCCCATAAGTGGGCGAGAGTCACGTCGACTCTCCGACTCTCGACCGAGGGCCAGGCTTCGACTCTCGAATCCGGCCGAGCAGCTCGGCCCGATGGGCCAACCTTGGGCGAAGCAGTGGCCAATGCGCCGACAGATCTGAGCCATGGACGTACGCGTGCGTACGCGGGGGTGAAGACCAAGAGTGAAAAAAAATGGATCATTGATCTTCAACAAACATGGAAGGGAAGTGAAACACGGCTCCGTGGAAGACTGCTTTCGTTTGTTTTCGCGAGGGATGTCCTCTTCCAGCATTGTTGAAGGGAGAGTATGACAACTAATTAGAGGGGTGTGACAACTAGTCGAATGACAGAGATCCACACCATCAGAGGAGGCATCATCGGTTGCACATTTGCATTAATTTTTCCAGGCAGAGGAGGCATCAAATGTGGGTGTGTTCAATATTGTTCAATGATCCTCAGTAGAAGGACGCATGGAGGGGAAGTAAAGTGAACCTGTATGTTGATTCGGACCTTTTGAAAGACTGGCTTTGTGTAGTTGGCTGGTCAACTAAGGAAAAGCAAGTTCAAAGCGGTCAAAGAGGACATACAAATCTACACAGCGAAGCTTGGGTTGCAATTGTCCAACCTGTGTCAACATGTATGCAGAATCACTTGAAGCATCACATTGATCGCAGTAGCCTTGCAAAAGGATATGTCATGTCATCAGTCATCATAATTATGGTACAGTCAGTGTCCAACCGTTATTCATGACAGAGTAAGATTTGCACGTTGAGCCTGCTTGCACAGCATATGGCATAAGCTCTCCAAGCATAAGCTGGCCTTGTTTCGACAGCTGAGCTGGTCGTTTTCGCTGCGGCCCCTTGGCACCTCGCCCTCGCGAGGATGTGGGGTCAGTGCCCATCCGACGTGAAGTCCCTTGATGTGCAGGATTCATACGCCAAGAGCTTCCAGTTTGGCCTTGGTTGCAACATCAAGGTAGGCCACAGCTGAGAGACTTGAGAGATCACATAGGCCACGAGACTTGAGAGAGAGAGAGAGAGCGAGAATGTATCAAGAGATCAGCAGATCCACCTCACTTGGTCCGTCTTCTAAATACATGCTTGATATTGCTTGATCATTTTTGGGGGACAGAATCTAATTATTATATATACTGTATATAATTAGTAATTAATTAGGAACCAGTCTGGCTCAAGACACTGCCTTTCGAAGCAAAGCGCGCCAGAAGCACAGGATGGCAGTTGAAGAGTGCAAGTTTCTTGCCAGCATTGACCTCCGGTATTTGCCATACTTCTGGAACAGAGAGAATGGCGAAAAGAGCCTCCTCATGGACTTGCTTGAAGAGAAGAAGTACAAGACTGTGCTGGAATTGGTGACCCGTGGGGAAATTTCTCCAAAAGAGACCATACCCTACACAGGTACATCGCTCTTGAAGCTGTCCTTCAGACAACCTGCAGTGGAAGATGTTGCCATTCTTCTGGATGCAATGAAGCTTCGGGGGGAGAAAATCGATGACACCGATTTGGATGCGGCTTGCTATGCAGGATCCTTCTTGGTGGTTCAGAAGCTGCTCAATGCCGGTGCTGTTCCTGGGCCTGATGCCCTGCATAGTTTGATGGAAAGGGCCGGTCAACGAAAGGAGAATGAGACACTCAAGATCTTGCATTTGCTACTGGAGGCCAAAGCTGAAATCGACGGCTTGGGCTCTTTCAAAGTAACGCCTTTGGTCACGGCATGCCGAGGTCTCAGCATTCCTTGCGGAGTTTTGCGGGCTTTGCTCCATCTTCGTGCTGATGTCGGCGGTGCAGGGCACGAGCCACCTTTGCACGCTTACGTTGGCCAATGGGGCCGTGAGGATGGAATCCGGGTTTTGGCAGAGCACCGTGCCGACTTGAACCAAACAGATCAGATTGGCCGGACAGCCTTGCATTGCGCTTTGAGTGGGCATTACCAGTTCAACTTGGCAATGCTTCTCAAGTCTTTGGGTGCGGACCCATTCATTGCAGATGCGAACGGGGTAAGACCCAGCCAACTTCTCATCAGATGCAACCAGCCGGAGAAGGCAGCAGAGTTGGAGGACCGTTGTATGAATCAAGAAGAGCTGAGGTTGAAGCAGGCCATGGAACACCCTCTAGCCAAGATGTTCAAGAGCTCTTTGATACAGTCAGTGAGATGGATCCTGAGCAATTCTCCCGAAGAGGGCTTCGGCTGCATTTGCAACAACCAGTTGAAAGATGAATGCGATTATGGGGGTTGCAAGCTCTCTGATTGCTTGGATGGTTGCGCCCCAAAAGCTGTCGTGCTGGAGCTGCCACTCACCAGATACTCTGAAATCTATGGGAATCTGCGGTTGACAGCGCCGCCTGAAGGCTTTACTGTAAAAGTCTTACTGATGGCGATTTACAAGTTTTATCAAGATCCTTTTGGCGATGCGGAGCTTTCAGAAATCCGGCAGCTTTTTGGTAAAGGCTTTTTGGGGGACACCTTCGGCTACATTTCCAACAATGTTGGTGAGACGGAAGGTTCAAGGCCAAAGAAGCAGAAGGTTCAACGCATTCAATTGCGAGGGGATAGCATTTTCTTCGAAGGTTTTCGCGAATGCAAGTTCTTTGAAGATAACCAGACCCTGTGGGGCAGGATGTGCCTGGGATCATAACTTGTGACCTTCGATGTGAACTACGCCAATTCCGTGGCTTTGCTGCTGGTTCTGCAAGTTTGAATGGATTACAAATAAGATTAAAGGAATAGAAAGTCAAACCACTAGCAGCTCCAAGACTAGGAGCAGGCTGCTTGTACAGTAGAACAGCAGTCGTACAGCGCAACGTGTGAAAGTCACGGGCCGTGTGAAATACACTTGTCCCAGGCTTTGCGTGCTTTTGATCTGGTGTTTGGAGCGACAAAAGGAATCAGTCTGCATTCTGCAAGCCAGTTTGCTTCCAGAACCACCTTCCAGAGTCCCAGAGTCACTCTTTTCGCTCTTTGCAGGCTCTGTGCCATTGCCCATATTCTCCGCTCCTGAGCTGTGCGACCAAAGCTTACATATGGCAAGTACCAGAGGAAATGCGGCCATTCACCTCAACTTTTGGCTACTGTCGTGTCTTGGCTGCCAATGGTCGATCGATCCTTCCGTTTTCATCCGTGGAGATGGGATGAGGACTTTCAGCGAACATGGCGTGGTTTGTTGGAAGATAGCAGCAAGAGGTTCGTTTGCTCTCCATTTGCGGAATGATAGGGAGACTCTTCAATGTAGTTCCATTGATCTCGAACATGTTTTGGTTTCACCACTGAAGACTGACCATTCTGGGGCCATGCCCCCTATCCTACTGCCTACCATCAAACATAATGTTGCTTTTACTCATCATATCATATCATATCATATCATAATTACACTCCCGAAAACTAACATGGAACCTGAAAATGGACCGTTGGAAGACGATTTTCCTCTACAACCTAGTGGTTTTCAGGTTCCAAGTGGGTCTCTTCCCGAGTGTATAATCATCGCTTTCCTAGGCGTTTGCGAACGACCGAGTCTGAGGTGTCTCCATCTGGGTCTTCGTCTCACTGGGTGTGGCATGTGCCTTGCTCATCGGACTGATTGTGTATTGTGCACGGAGGAAGAGAGGCTGAGGGCGCTGAAGAGAAAAGGACCGTACGGAGTCAGTGCGGAGAAGAAAAGCCTCATGAATCCTAGATGAAAAGACGCGTAGTAGATCGTATGCCCCTCATTGAAGGGAGCTTGTCTAATTAATCCTCATGAGCGACATTGAATGTTATCAGCATGCCCGTTCTGTGAAAGCAATGGATTTGAGTAGCAGGTCCAATGTGACAGTGAGTCAATGGCATGTGGACACGTTGGGTGAAATATATAGATTGCCAGTTCCGCAGCGTTGGATGCGGAACTGTTTGACAGGCGTCTTTGTCGGATCCTAAGTCTGAAGAATGCTGAGTGCTAGTACGACGTGACATCCGTGCTAGTAAACCCAAAGACTTGGTATCGAATTGAGCAGATTGAGCACTCATGGTTTTCTACACACCGTGTGGCTCAGTATGGTGATGAAACGATCACCCGGACACTTGGTCACAGTACTAGATATTTTTGTCACCATCAAATGCCCACAATTCGGACGACTCCGGAGGCCGGCTGTCAGCCCCCACAATGCAGAGGCCGATTGGTAGTGGAACTTCAGGCAGTCATACATTCCACCAGGTAAGGGTCACTAATGGCGCTGTCAAGTGTCCGGTTCGTTCAATGGTCACCGGACCTGTATCGAGGTTGCAGTGGTTGCGATGGCGGGTTGAATCTTCCAAAAAAAGAGCTCATAAAGGAGTGCTGAAAGGGCTGAAAGGAGTGCTCTTTTGGCACTTCACTTTTTCGCTTTCGATAAAGTTCCAAAGGAGACCTTGCAGAAAAATAAAGGACGAGGCCAACGTTGAAGGCGTTTGCCTGCTCCATTCACTCCCCGACGTCGAAGCGAGGCCGCCAAAGTGCGGCAGTTGAAGAGGCGGGTCGGGCATCGACGTGCGACGTAGTGCGGCTCGACTTCCCCCCAGTTCCGGATTTGGGAGGTGCGGACAAGGAGCAATGGCCTTTGAACCGGCTTTTCAGACGTGATAATCCGTAAAGCCTTAAAGTCTATGTGTTGCTCTGTTTTTTGCTTTTGTTTGGCCGTGTCGGCAAGCTCATGCAAGGAGTAGCAGGAGTTTTTCAACTTGGCGTGTAGTCTAATTAATCCGTAGGACGTCCGTAGCTTCTTTTGGGGGTACAACTTGCGCACACGTCTCATCACCAGACGCTCGAACGCCTCAGGTGGGAGTCGGCTTTCCAACGCTTGCAGAACCAGGGTGAGGCCAGGTTTCTTCACCGAACTTGGTCCGAGGACCTGAGGAGCTAGATGTGTTATGATGTGTTTGAGAATCCCACAAGGCATGCACCAACCAGTGAAACAAAAGATATCATGTCATATTAATTCATAATATGAGGATACATTATGAGGCACAGCCAACATTTCCGGAAGACTACGCAAGTAAAGAGAGGGACATGGGATCTCAAAACGCAGGTTCCAGCTGAAAAAATACTGTAATACACTCACCACAACCTGAAACCCGATAACACACTTACCAAATCCTGATGTCCTTTGATTTAGTAATAAATTTGACCGTGGCTCATCTGAGCTCTATATATATATAATGTGCTCATGATGAAATCAATGCTCTCCTCTTGTGTTGGCACCAGATTGGGCTGGTGCTCACATCAACGGTCCACCCGTGATGTTCGGTGGACCGAGCTCGGCCTCGACAGGTGGACCGTGAGTTGCTCTTGCAGGGCATCGAGCTCGCAGGCGAGAAGGAGTGGGGATCCGGACAAAAGGAAGTCCCGGGCGATGCTTTTGTCCGAGAAGGATCATGACATCAGGAGAGATTCTGATGTAGACTCTTTAAGGAATTTTCACAACTCCATATGAAGAGGCTTGAGAATCCGAATATGGATAAATATGGTGGGTACTATGGTAGTCAACAAGTCTACATCACCTCGTTGGATGGAGATGTGAAGACTTGGTGCTGTAGACTTTTTAAAAGGAGCATCGTTTGGCCGACTGTCGAACTCTGGCGCAGGCTGGCAGAGCTCTCGTGTTCATTGAAGATAACGTTCCAAATACTGTAAATGCACTCCAAAAAGCCGGCATGGTATAAGATGGTATAAGTAGCCACGGGGCTCAAAGGCCCGACGGCTCGGGGTCACGGCGCCCGGGGGCATCTCGCTGACCTCGACGGTCAGAGGATGCGTCCATTAGGTGGGCTCACCTGCCCGCCCGCCTTGGTAGGTGTGCGACTTTTGTTTCCAAGTGATTTCCTTAGGTTCGTGCGCCATGGATGTGGGGAAAGCGATGTCTCTTGCAGACCAGGTTCTGCAGGACCCTTTGCGGTCAAGGGTGAAAGGCCTGTTTTCGGGAGTCTCCTTGCCGACTCTGCTCCCGTCAGTTGCTGGCAGGCATTTTTGTGCAGGGAATGTTGTCGATGTGGGAGAGCATTGGTTGGAGCTTGATGCCCTTCAATTCGTTCCTGGAGGTGGCTTTGTTGACAGCAGCTCTGACCCTAGCAAGATCACCCTGCATCTTCTGGATGCCACAGGAAGGTCCATTCACTTGGCCAAGGATGTTCAAGTCATGTGCTCGGGCGTGCTCAAGCATCAAAAAGGTTCCCATGAGTTTTGGCTGGAGCAGGCTACTTTAGCCTTCAGGCCTGAATATGTGCCGGAGATGGCCTGGACCGCCTTGCATTTATTCGCAGGATCCTTTTCAGGGTGGAGCCAGGCCCTTCGCTGGTTGAGCTCCACCCAGCCCTTATTGTTGAAGGGGCAGGAGATTGCCATTGACTCGGACGAAACAGTGATGAAGCTTTGGTCACTGAAGCATAACATCCCGGCAATCTTTCCTCCTATTGCACACAATGTGCCGTGGAATCCTGCTGAGTGTGTGGGGGTGTGCAGCCCTGTTCAAGAGCCTTCGATCCTCAATTTGCTCAGAGCTCAGTTCAATCTCATCCAGACGATGTCACCGCCGTGTCAATCCTGGAGTCGTGGAGGCCGTCAAGTTGGCCTAGCTGACCCGAATGGGTTTTCTTTTTTGGAAGCCTTAGGTGTTGCAGCCTGCAGCCAACCAATTGTGTTGGTGGCCGAATGTGATCAAGCATGCACATTGGCCTCTTGTACAGGCATATGCCAGTTTGGTGGGATTTAAGTTGATTTGGTCGCAAGCCACCCCATACCATTTTCTGGTGAATCACATGCGGACGAGGTGGCTTGGCATTTGGATTCGTTCTGACTGCCCTGCGAATGCTTTCGACTTTCCTGTCCATCCGACTCTGGTTCCCAAAGTGTCATGGGATTCGCAAGCACACGAATTCCCTGTTCCACCTGTTTGGAAACACCAACTCAAGCTTAGTGATTCGGAGTGTTGCTTTTACGACAGTGAGAGCTTTCTTCCTCCAGCCAAACGACGCAAGGCCCAACAAGGTCAAACGAGGCATGCTCAGGGGCTCTGGTCTCGGGTTCCTGACCCCTCTGAACCGATGCCAACACTGTGTGCATCCTACTCCAAGCAGCACCTCCTCAGTGAAGAGCACCTGCGATCCAAGGGCATCTTTGCGGTTATCCAACATACTGCAAGTGGGTTTGCATTTTTTCCACCCAGCCTGTTTGTGTCCTTGTTTGGGGCCACCGAGTCTTTGGTTTTCCCGTCAAAGGTCCAAGCTACGTTCCAGGTTTTGGGCAATGCGATCACAGTTCCACACAGTGTTCTCACCCTTGCCATCGCCCTTCTCTCTCTCACAGGTGATGCCATTGACCCACTGCAGCTTGTCAGGCAAGCATGGGCTTCCAGGCTCACTTCGTACAACACAGTTGTTTTCGAGCAGGGTGATTTCGTGCACTTCGTGCCTAGGGACTCCTTACACTTGTGGATTTCACCCAAAGCCATCTCACTGTGCCCAAAGAGTGCGTCCGTCAGATGTCATGGAGCTATTTCTGGGGTCTGCATTGATGTTCGCTTTCCGTCTTCTTGCAGTGGATTTCAGATACTCTTGCAGCGCCTTGATGGTCCACCTGACCTGCTCCGCCAGATTGCTTTGATAAACTTTGACGATAAATCACATGATCGCAGGCCAATTCGTGCCCTCGCCGAGGCAGCAGTCGAATGGGATTTTCTAATTGGATACTGCAAAGTAGGACACTGCCAGCTCACCATCGAAGCAGCAACCCCCTGTGTCACTGAGGTCATCGATATTCCTGAGACTCAACCATTCCAGCCGGAAGCCAATTTTGTGTGTGATGATTACATCCAGCTCTCCTTTGACGAGGTCACGAGGAGCTCCTTCTTCCGGGCAGTTCAGCCAGTCATCGAAA